CTGCGGGAAAGCCATCTGTCCGTACAAGCGGAGCAATGCGTCGTCTGCTCGCGTTTCTGGTGAGAGTAGAATATCCCTCCCAATATTTCTTGAGAGTTGACGAAGCATTATTTCGTGATTCAAATTTAATAAGACCGAATTTGGGAAACATACTTTGAATTCAGGAGTTGTGACTTTTCTTTGAAAGTACCAGAAAAAATACTTTACTTTATGTAAACGACTAGTACATATTCACAAAATGTACTTCAAGTAAAGTACAGGTTGTTTAATCCTACTTGAAGTACGTATTTCAACTACTTCCCTACACTGAAGATAACATGCGAGGTGTACTAAAAAAAATTCCGGGACTGAATTTGTAGCCTGTAAAGAGAGGGCACCATAGAAATGCGCGCACAGCATTCGAATGAAGGGACCTTTGTGTCTCGTTATACCAAAGGGCGTCGCTCTGTGAACAGTTGGAGCTGCGCTACACGAGGTTTTTGCGACCAGGTGCATGGGCACAATGGCCATTTCTCCACAGACTGCAAACCAGAGCGAGAGCGAACATAAACTCTGCGCCAAACTCGACACATATAAAACAAAAAAGCTTTTAAATTATTCAGCAGGCTTCTGTCAAAAAGCAGTGGATTTTGCGAAGTGCTTTAAAGCGATTGTCTGGTCGAAACCGGAAGTACCCAAGTGTTTGCGCTCGTTACGTCGAGGGAGCCTTCATGTAGACGAACGTCATTTTTATTTTGATATATGATTCCCGTTGTTAATTGAACCTCTCATGAGTGTATGTTCGAAACTGCACCCCGGATTTCGCCAGTGTCAATGGCTAACATCCGTAGCTTCTCTGTGACGTCACAGAACGCATAGGTTTGTCGGATGGTTAGGATAACAAGGGTTGGTCGCTGGATGTCTTGTATTTTATTTCGAATTAAAATAGTCTGCTAGGCTGTACCCTACTGAAATACGGTTTCTGTAATGCAGTTCCCAAGCATGTGCAAAAAAAAGTCACGCCTTTCAGTAGGATATTACTCCAAAACAGCCATAAGCTTCGAGCAAACATATGCTGTTTCGCGCAAACACAACTGCGACGGCAATGGCGATCGAACTAGGAGCGCTTGTAAAGCAAAGGATGAAGATTTTGCCTCTGAAGCGGCTCCTATAGGTACACGAGGTGGCATCTGGGTATACATATCGGCGGATCCACTGGATCGGTGATGAGGCTGCGGGTCGTTCCCTCAGAGGCGATGTCCGCGGTCGAAGGCAGACGGCGAATCGTTCAAATGCATGTCGTCACTTGACTCGGACGAGCTTGGTGAGTCGTACCCACGCTCCATTTTCACATGCGGGCCAAACAGAATTGGCTGCACGCGTGCTAAATACAGCTTCTGGTCAATTTTCCAGATGGCCTAGCTGTAGATTTGGGTTTCGCTGCATAATCAAATTGATTGATCTGATTTGGGCCAGGAGTGGATGGACGTAATTGAATATCGTTGGCACAGCATCACACTTCAGCTTACGAGCCTTCTGTCCGCTTAGAGCTCAGCTCGGAGCTCTCTTCTGTGAGATGACTGCTGCATAAGCCGGATCTCGATCTCGACAGGAACCCTGGCCCTACGCACGGCGACGATCCATTTTGCTCGCCACTGCATTCCTCGCGGAAAAGTGGAACGTCCCGTCTTGGCTAGCAGGTGCTGCCGAGTGATTGTGGCACCCAACCGCGCAACAAAAATCTCACCTATCCACGAAACAAGTCGAGCGCAACAACAAAAACGAAGTACGCTGCGGCGTTCGCTCGCAGGAAAACGACGAGACAGGATTAGGAATGCTCGCTTTGTGTTGTGTGACATCAGAGCTTCAATGTTGCCAACGAAAGCAGCGTTTACTCAAGAATGCGATTGGAGCAGTATACATTCAATTACTCATGCAGAGGGGCATATAAAGTTCAGATATTGCGCGTACGATGCTTTTCGAAACAATAAGAATGATGTTTATTTGTTTTCTCGAATACAAAATTTGACCGGCCAATTCTTTTAACTGTACTCGCGCTTCAGGAAAGGCAGAACATGGCTGGAAGACGAAGAGTGGTATGGCGACCTTATCCGACCTCTCCTTGGCAGAATGTCACATTCTGCCATTCTGCCATAGCAAAATGCTGTCTGAGGGAGAGGGGGAGAGCAGGCCCCAGCAAAATGGAAGATTTCGAGGGGGGGGGAGGGGGTGGGGAGGCCAGGCCCTATGCCCCCCCCCCCCCCCCCCCCCCCCCTGGCTGCGTGCCTGTCTTGGCACGCGATATAAGCAGCAGGGATATCGTGGTTTTTCGCAGCCGCAAGGCAGTCAAACGCAGTCAAACGCAACTGTCTGAACCAGGTTTTACGCTGTCAGGAAGTACACGTGGATTGCACATGACGTCATCCAAAGAGCGCTCCGATGACCAGACTTGTACACGTTACTGAAAAATAGTAAGGAATTACATTTACAATTACTCAAGGCTAAATTGTAGTTTATTACAATTACAATTACCCTCCCATAAAAGTAAGTGACCGTTACCCCCAAAAGTAATCCGTTACTTTCGTGGCCGTTACTCTCAACATTATTTTCCTCAATTACGAAACATAGGGAAGAAGGCTACTCAAGTTCTTATTGTTGCCATCTGTTCCATTTATTGACCTTGAGTATTTTAAGGAACAGCTGACTCTCGAAGTCTCGTCAGACATTTTGCGTTATTTCTTACTGAAGATGTCGACTTCTCTGAACGCCTTTTGAACTGAGGCACAGGATAGGAATGCCATATCGTGCCTCACGAATGTTTTACGCTCTGCATTGAGCTTCCTCAGCGAAACAATGAAAGTACTATTTACCTCGAAGATAGAGCAAAGCTTCGTCCTTGCAGCAGTTGCCTGATATTCGAGAGTTTTAGTAGAGTTGGTAACAGTTAGGTGATAATTAAATAATAAAAATGGTTTGGCTCAATATTCTTCTTCCTTTGGTTCTGAACAGGTCAAGCCTCGGTTGAGACGTTTGTGAATGAGAAAAGTTTCCAATATCTAAATATAAGTAATTGAGAAAAAACAAGAACAGGACACTCATAACAACAATTAATTATAACGTTGGTTAAAACAAGGAAATGTAAACGCACGTTTGCCATGTGTACCTTTCTTGGTGCCGTTCAAAAACGCACGGAGCACGGACCGACTGCAGTTTACACCGTTGTTCTCCAGATAGACGTCCGCTGAGGCCACGGGCAGCGAAGGGCAGAGTACTAAGTAAGCCGCGCTATGGCCGCACTCACGAGTTTCACTCTCTCCTCAAGCTCAGAATATCAATTCTAAATCAGCCACCATAATGTTTTATTTGTAACAATATCTGCTTGAGATAAGATACGTCCTGCTGGGGTAAAAACAGGAAGAAGAAAACAGGTAGACTATTACCATTTTCGAAGTGCTCGCAGAAAGCTGACTCACAAAAAGGATGACTGAGATGCAGATAACCTGACTGGAATTCACAAATAAAGTGCTCCAACCCTAGAAGTTGAACTAAAAAAAGCAAGTAGCTTTGTAAACAGGTTCGAATAAGATGAAAGAAGCAGAAAAAAATACATCCTGTTTTCTAAGAGAAGATGGTAAGTGTGCATCGGCGAATGAGGATGCTTGTGGCAATAAAACCTTCACATATTATCACATCTCTTTCACTGCATTTTAGGGTAGACAGAGCGTTTTCTCGTGTTTTGACATTACGAAAATGGTCCTAGTCACTATAACTGAGAAGGACATTGTTAATTCTTGTCTGTGCACTTACCACCTTGAGCTTCTCGAAGAGGCGCAGAATCACTTGCTGTCCTCCTCTCCTTGTCTTCGATCGCAAAAAAAACAAAACAAAGGGACTAAAAAAGTGGATAACACTTGCCCCCCCGCTCCCCCCTTTTTTTTTAATACATTTTTTTTTTTAAATCTTTTGACATTGTTGTTAGGGTCTAAAAAAAAAGATTCAGGGGCTTGACGTTAAAAAAAAAAAAAAAAAAAAAAAGCTTTGCGGAACTGAAGAGTGCAAGCTTCCCTTTGGCGCTGGTAAATTCGCGTGACAGTGTCACTGCGCTGAACTTTACCAAATTGAAAACGACCGTTTCTTTAAAAGAGGGAGGGGGGGGGGGGGAGGGCTGGTTCTGAAAAAAATGTAACGGATTACAAGGAATCCGTTACGTAAAAAATGTAAGGCAATTACTTTACAATTACTCTCGAAATAATGTAATTATTCCGTTACTAAATTACCGATAAATGTAAGGGATTACAAGTAATTTCGTTATTTGTAACGGATTACGTACAAGTCTGCCGATGACCACCAGAGAAGAGGGGAAGAAGGAGCTCTCCTCTTACCAGGAACCTCCTCTGTGTCTCCCAGATTTGCCCAGACGTCGCTATCTGATTCTAGAAGTTTATAGAAGATTAACCCGTCGCTCAAAATTCCTACAAAAGTAGCTTCCTCCTCTCTCCCTGATGGTGGTCAAAAGTACGCGATGTGGCGTCAAAACAAGCCATGAATATAGCTCTCTGACGCCACACTACTGAGGTGGCGCTGCTGTCGGCCCCGCGCACTAGTAAGCCTAGATTGTAGATAGGATCCACCTCAAACCATGGCACCGTGAACCATGGGGAGCGTTCGGAATTCAGTGGGGTAAATCTTCTGCGGCGATCGGTCGCAAGTGCGCATGTGCTTTGTTTTCGCGTGGTTAGGTGAAAAGCAGGAGGAAAGGCGGAGGCGTTTGCAGACGATCAACGCTATCGCCACTCGGCTCGTATCGCGAACGCCGCCCGTGAACAACGTGGCCCCGATTGACCAGTTGGAAACCCTCTGTAATACAGGCTGTTTACCGCAGCTTGCGCAGTCGCTTCACACGCATCTGGTTTCTGCGCACGCGCAGTGCCCATGCCTCGTGTGGGCGAACGCGGGCTTTTTTATGAACAACATATTTGTGTATAGATGAATGTTGACATTAATTTTTTTTCTCTCACCAGGCTCTCCTGATTGAAGCTAAGACTCCACGTAAACCTGCGCAGACATGGCCACACCCAGACGGGTCCCAGTGACTCAGGACATCGACGGTGAACCCTGCTGCATCTATTTTAACCCCACTCTTTACCGGCAAGTTCCGACCTTTGAACCGCAAGAGGGCGATATTATACAGGTACGCTTTTTGTTTTTTTCTTTTTATTTTGGGGGGCTACATGTCTACACCTGGAGAATTACCTGAACTATAGCGTATTGTGAGTGCTCCGATTATAAGTTAAATGGTTGTCACGATTAGGAGGTTGGTTAAAACGAACGTGTTGTAATTATGAGTACCTAAAATAGAAAGAATAAAAGTATGGTTGCCCGTGAGCGTCCTCCGTTTTTTTTTTTTATTTATTTATTTTGATAAGTATTAGAATGTTCACTCAGAAATCTTGTTACGATACTGTAATCACACATATACGTAACTTTTTAATGCCTGAGGTAAAAAAATGCTCTAATTTATCGAACCTTTTCGCATATTCATTCGCACTTTTTATGCACATGTATGGAGTCGTTGAATATTATTTCTCAATTTTCTTGTAGTTCTTCTTTCTAATGAAATATTGATCTTATATATTCAGGTAATTATACAATGTGGGTATTTCTTCGATAATACTAATTTTATTGGAAGCCTTTTTTTTTATTACAAGCGTGAATATCAAACTGGTATCAATTTATTCGTTGCATAATGTTCTTACATAAGAAATTCTGAAGTCCATAATAAGCGATCGTGACTATTCATTGTTCTATAACGAAGTTAAAATTAATGAGAGACGCATTATCGTTTATTTTTTTTATGGACATCGTAAAAGCATTAAAAGTGAAGACAACTTTATTAAGCAGGCGAGCTGTTGGTCTAAGTTGGTCAAGAGAGGCATAATTATGTCATTGTTGAAGGCTGCCCTCAAGAAGTCTTGTTCTCACCAAGGGCATCTGTAAGTGGAGAATCAGTTGCTTCGCTTGAAGGATGTGAGATACGAGAACAACATACTGAAGCGGGTTGCGATGACAATTGTAATAAAGATCTGCTGGATGAAGAGGGGGCATACTACGAAAGTTGACACGGTAATCCATAACATTTGAGGCTCGGTAATTTGTAGTTATAATCCATTACATTTTTCAAGTAACGAGCACAAGTCTGCTGTAGAGGGGTGTTCGCTCAGCTGGAAGTGATGCTTCACGGGCAGAGAAATCAGTTTTTAATCAACTTGAATGAGGTCAAAGCCGCGACTTGCGGCTGGTGTTAAGTGTACGGTGCAATGCTGTAATGAGCTCGAAAACTTCTAGCGCTCATCCCAGCGCGCCATATGGAGGGCTGTTTGTTCGGGAACCATAGTATATTTAAACAAAAAAAATACAGAATATTTTTTATTTTTGTCAATTTTACCTACCATCCTCCCTTAATGCTAAAATTCAAAACAGTACAGATACGTACTTTCCGTCATATTTTCATACTGTTCAGTCCTTTCTCCGGAGCGCAATCACACTCCTGGTGGAGACCACAGGATATCGCAGGCGACAGTCACATTGGCTACACGGTACGATAGAAGCTATGTTTCAAACCAGCGTTCCAACATGACTATCCGCAGGTCGATCGATTGCACCGCAGTCCCTCAAGCGGTCTCAAACTCTTTAATGTAAAGCGAAATGTCAACCTGCGACACCCCGCCCCTTCCGATTACGGTCCGACCAGCGGTATCAATGCCCGTCATTTACGTCATCTCATCTTGTTGTTACACCACAGATACGCGAACACACGGCCACATCGGCGATAATTCCAGTCTTCGTTTGCAACGTACAACACTGCCATCACGATGTTGCTGCTATGGCTGCTATGTTGCTGACACGCAGAAATACAGAACCACATTGAACGCCGGTTGGCACTCGGCATCGGAAAACAGAACCGAAGTCAGCACAGAAGGCACCCAGACACCCGGCAGCAAAACCTGCCTGTCTTGGACGCAGTTTACGCGGTTTCCATAAAGTCGTCAACATCGACACGTCGTTCCGCAATCCGGAGGCGGCCATCTTAGCCCAGTGTACGTAGCGCTGCTGGCACTGCTCCTGAACTTCACTGTTTCTAACGCCTTCGTTTGCTTGTTTGATAAAATTAATGGTAAAAATGTCAATGCAACCCAAATGCACTGCACGTTTGGACTGGGAAGCGGAACCGAAAGAAGATTAGGCGGGAGGGCGGGACCTTTCTCCCGTCTGCCTGGAGAAGGAGAGAGACGTCTTGTTCCTCCTTTGTTCTCGCGTGTCCGCTTGGGAGTGCGTCAGTAGAAGGGAGGAAAACCCGCCTTTGCAATCTTTTTTCTCATTTTTTTTAGAGTGTACTCGCCGCTTTTCGTTACTAATGGGTCAACAGAAGAGAAGGGCAAGTGGCAAACGCTGACGCGCTATCGCGATTGACGCTTCCAAACATCAGAGAAAGAAGTGGCTTCCTTTAAAAAGTGTAAGAAATGCCTGAGTCTTCCGGTAACATACGCTCCGATACTAGGAAAGACGCAACTTGTTCGAAGGTAATGTTTTGTTGTGTTAAATGGATGGCCTGCGAAATTGACAACGGACAAGCTGTCACAATTTTTCCTTTGCAAAGATGAGCTCCTGTGGGTTATGATTACATCACATGGGGAAACAAAGTAGTCAACCCTAAGTCGCTGCAGTCGGAAGTGTTACGGCTCTTGCTCGAAAGACACCCGGGAGCTACACGGATGAGAATGCTATCCAGAAGTCATGTTTGGTGGTCCAAGTTGAGCGAACGAATGAAAGCTAGAGAATGTAAAACGCTGCGCCATTTGTCAGTTCACTCAGAATGCAGTCTCGTGCGTACAAACGTTTTCTTGGGGATGGCCAACGAAACGGCGGCAAAGAGTTCATTTGGATTTTTTGTACTTCGATGAAATTGTTTTTTGTTTTTTTCTTGTGGATGCATATGCAAAGTGAGATGATGTGTTTCACCTGAATACAGCCAAGATTTATCTGGTTTGATACCAGGAAAAGGCGGATTTTTCCGGTCGCGCACAAGTAGCCAAGCTATTTTTGGAGGTTTGTGTTTGTCATTTGTCCTCCTTGTTCCACCTACTCCAGGGATTATTATCATTATTTTTTTTCCAGCTCACTTGTACCTCTGCATTAATTGGACTATTATCATAACCTTAAAATGCAGGCCGTTCACCCTTGTTGGTGTTAGACTGGTGGCAGATGGTACAACCCATTTGCTTTACTGACGTCTATCTCCTGGTTTGCTCAGTTGTCAGAGTGCTTCCCTGGATACGGAGAGCTCCCTGGTTCGATACCAGGACCAGGCAAATTTTTTCGGGTCGCGCACCAATCACCTAGCTGTTTTTGAAGATGTGTGTTTGTCCTTTTTACTCCTTGTTCTCCTTCTCCAAAGATTGTTACCGTCACAACCAAGGCCTCAATGAATGTGGAAATACTGCGCATATTATTTGCTCCTTGTGGCCTTCCGGAGAAAACTGAGAGAGGCAATGCTCCCCAGCTCGTGGCTTGTTGATTTCACAGATTTTCGCAGTGCAAATACCGTGCAGCACATCAAGACAGCCCCCTACGATCCGGCGTCAAATGTCACCGCACAAGAGCTCGCCCAGACGGTGAAGCGGAGCCTTATCCGCCGGCTCCAGAAAGAACGAAGGACGGGACAGTCTTGAACGGTACAACACCGGCCATGCCGTACCACACGTAAGACACCAGCCAAACGCTTCTCGTTATGGAAGCCACGCACAATGTTAAACATCCTTCAGCCAGAGTTAGCCAGCGGCAACCTCAAGGACAAAAGGTTTCCTAGATAGATTTTGAAACAGGCGACAAGGTTTGTGCAAGTGGAAACAAGCTAGGCGATCCACTTTGGTCTGAAGACACCGTTTTACGGCGTGTCAGCCTCTCGAAGTATCTGGTCAAGATTCAGGGCCAGGAACGGGTCTTGCTACCAGATTACGTTGCCATCAAAACAGTTCCTATCCCTCGGCCCACGACAATCAAGATGCCAGAGGAAACCCTAAAGGCTAAGCCACCAGACCGCAAGCCAGTAGAGGCAGTTCTTTAAGAGGCAGGCAGCCCTGACAACCCGCATTCGACGCCCGGGGCTGCCCATACGCGGATTGTTATCTACGAAACAGACAACGCTCAGGCAAGCTCTCTGTAAGTTGCGGTACAGCAAACGAATCTAAAAGCTACCTAAAAGATGGGTATACGATGAATATGAAACGTTGGAGGACTACAGTCACCAATAGTCACCACGGCTGCCGCGGGATAGTACGATGCACTACTTGCCGCCAACCACATAGGGCGTAGTTTCGACGTATCTACGGGCGTTTCGGCGGACGTAATCCCGACGTTGAGTGGGCGTCGGGGCTTCCTCGACGTCTCAAAGCTGGCGTAAATACGCGTGTATTCGGCGATCTGACCAAAACAGATCTCGGCGCTTCGGAGTATTTTGGCGTGGCCTATCCGGAAGCATACAGCGCGGTGCCAGCCATTCAGCTCGCGAGTTGACAGCTGGAAGTTACTCGAGGATCGGCTTGCCTATCTTTGCAGCCGGCTAGCATGGCTTGACTGAACTGCCGAAATGGGCGCTCGCATGGCGTTTTCTCGTAGTGTTCAGCGGTTTTTCGGCCACCTGTAAGAAATCGCTGTCTCTTTCAAACGAGCGATTAACGACTGAGACAAAAGAAACGACCATCTATGTGGCGGTCGGCGTGTAAAAAACTTATAAGAGGAAGGGTTTTTGGCAGAGATAGCGACCGTCCTCCTCCCTGGAGTTGTTGGCAGCGCGGTCATGGCAGGGAACATTCTTAAGACAAGCGTTAGCCAATTAGGCTTTCGTGGTTTATTAACATTTAGTTATTTCTGTCCCTTTAAGGAAAGCAATAATAGAGCAGCTGATCTGCATTTTGCCTCTTTTTATGAAAAGAGCGAATCGGGCCACACTGCACCAAACGGCGAGGAGACGTCGACGAAAAGTGGCGTGTGTGGTTCGGCCGACCTTCCCCTCTTCCCTTCTGTAAAAAAATTGGCCGCCAAATGCCGCGCCCGCTGAAACGCGCGTAAATATGTTGAGAATACATCGTATGTGGGTCAGCCTAAATACTTCTGAATCTCGGTAACCGAGTGATGTACTTAGTTATTCTTTGAGTAAGGAAAGAGTTGCGGTATTTCTTATTTTCTTCATTGACTTGTAAATGTCTGGTTAAGTCCAGCGTGTCTCAACTCCTCTTTTCCATTCGTCCTTGGCATTTTGTTAATTTTTTTTCTATTTCTGTCTTTGCGCAGGTGTCGTATCCAAGATCCGGGACACACTGGGTGCAGCAAATCATCCAGCTTATCTTGGCCAGAGGGGAGTCGGTGAAAACGTACAACGAATCCTTTGAGAGGGTTCCTTTCCTCGAAATTATGGAAGTCAAGTCGTCCTCATCCCCCAGACATCTCCGGACCCATTTCTCCATGAGTAAACTTCGCCTCATTCCAAAGGCAAAGTACATCTACGTGGCACGGAATCCCTGGGATTGCTGCGTGTCCAACTACCACATGACACGAGAATGTCCCGGCATAGATTTCATGGACGGAACATTCGACGACTTTCTTGACGCTTTTCTCGAAGCAAAGGTCGGTTTTGGCGACTACTTTGAGCATATTCTTTCTGGCTACAACCACAGAGAAGACCCGAACGTGTTTTTCATCACGTATGAAGAACTTCAGAGAAACAAAAAAGAAGTTGTCCTCCGGTTGGCTGACTTTTTAGGCGAAGAACACAAAAGAGTGCTTGAAGAAAACGGGGACGTGTTTGAGCAGGTCCTGGAGAAGAGCACCGTGGATTTTATGAAGAATATCCTGACGATGAACCCAATAGAGCTCACTGAGTGTATCACAAACAACTCGCCACATGTTCAGCCGCTCCAGGTCATCAGCAACCAACAGGTTTGCCAATCGACCGAAATCCATATCCTCCGCAAGGGAGTGATGGGCGATTGGAAGCAGCACTTCACTCGTGGAAACATCGAGAAGATGCAGACTGCCATTAAAGAGCGAACAAAGGGTTCGGATATTATGAAGCTTTGGCAGTGTGACTGAGGTCCAATGGTGCTTACAATGACTCGTACGTTTATGCAATTGAAATATTTCTTTTTCAGGATCGTACGAAAATATGCGCTTAGGGAGGACAGTTACTCAAATTCTAAAACAGAATGTATTGTCACGGGTAGTGACCAAAAACAATAAATAAACAGGAAGAAATAAACCTTTAATGTGGCGAACTTGTGCCAAAAATAAAAGGGTACAGAAGATAATAACAGAGCGTCGCGGGCGTCGAAGTCGGCGTAACAGCAGAGTCGAACGCTGGGGCAAGACTGCCTGCAGATCAGCACGCGGAGTCCCTTATGTACGCGCGTTGGGTTCTGGAACAATCGGCCTAGATTGTTCGGCGACTGGAACATTCGGAACTAAACCATACGAGAATGTTCTCGAACACACGAGAATGCAATGTTGAAAGAACAAATAAAAGAGCATTCCACTGACTGGAATCGAACCCAGACTTTCCGCGCGAGAATCAAGCACGGCAACCACTCGGTCACGCACGCTTTTTTTTTGTTTTTTTTTATTGCCTGGTACATGACATACACAAGAAATAGCCGTGAACGCGGACAAAACGAGTGATAACAAATGAAAGCCGTTTACAACTCCCTGTAACGCCGAATTAGAGCGCAGCTCTTGAGGAGGAGGAGGGAAGGGTACTGAGGGGGTGGGTCAAGTGACCTCGAGGGGGCGGGGGGTCACGTGACCTTGTGGGAGTCAGGTGACCTTGGGGCGTCACGTGACGTCGGGGGGTCACGTGACCTGGGGCCACGTGACGATGCCGATGACGTCATCAGTGATGATGACGATGCGGATGCCGGTGACGTCATCAGTGACGTCACTGATGACGTCATCAGTGGCTATGACGTCAACGGGGGGTCACGTGACCTCGGGGGGTATCCCCAGGTCACGTGACCCCGGGGGGGTCACGTGACCTGGGTAACCATCGTGACCCTCGTGAGGGTAACTCTCATAACCCTCGTGACCTTCGTGAGGGTAACCCTCGTGAAGGTAACCCTTTTGAGGGTTACGAGGGTAAGTAACCCTCGTGCTCAAGCCGGGAACGGGCCCCTAAGAGCTGCGCTCTAAAACTGCGCCAGGGTTTGGCTAGCATCTGAGGGCAGAGGTCGGCATTTTAGGTCGCCCTCACTCACCCTCACCCTCACAGCCACACTCACCTAAGCCCCTCACTCACCCTCGCAGCTACACTCACCTTCAGCCCCTCACTCATCCTCACCCTCACAGTCACACTCACCTTCAACCCGTCACTCACCCTCACAACCTCACGGCCCTCACGCACTCACCGCCCTCACGGCCGTCACGCCCCTCACGGCCCTCACCACCCTCACGGCCCTCACTCACTCATGGCCCTCAGGCCACTCACCGCCCTCGCGCCACTCACGGCCCTCACCGCCCTCACCACCCTCACGGCCCTCACCGCACTCACGGCCCTCACGGCCCTCACGCACTCATAGCCCTCACCGCCCTCACCGCCCTCACCGCCCTCACGGCCCTCACGGCCCTCACGCACTCATAGCCTTCACGCCACTCACCGCCCTCACCACCCTCACGGCCCTCACCGCCCTCACGGCCCTCACCGCCCTCACGGCCCTCACCGCCCTCACGGCCCTCACCGCCCTCACGGCCCTCACGCCACTCGCCGCCCTCACGCCACTCGCCGCCCTCACGCCACTCGCCGCCCTCACGCCACTCGCCGCCCTCACGCCCCTCACCGCCCTTGCGGCCCTCACACCACTCACGCCCCTCACGCACTCATGGCACTCACGCCACTCAGGCCAGCTTCAGATGGGGCAATTTTGCCCAGAAACTTCACGTCGCAACACCAGCAACACGGGCCGCCCGCGATCACACACAGCAACCAATTGCTGCAATTTGCCATCGTCATCATAAAATTTTATTTTTCTTGCACTATTTAGACAATTACGCGTTATAAACGTGTTTTTATGCATTTAAATCTCGTTAAGAATACTAATGCACCTTTCTGAAACAGTTTATTTCAAAAAAAAAAAAAACGATCGATTTCAATCCAGAACCAAGTTTTTCGGTGTCATCATCACCGGCACGAAGTATCACGTGAAAATTTTGCGTCCCTGATTGGATGCAGCCGCTTCAAACGTATTCGAATTGCTCCGAGTTGCTTGCTTATTTCGAGCCGGACCCGATCTCAGCAATTCGTGTCGATCTAGGGAAAGCTAGAGAACAACCCGCCATTAACACCGAAATTGCTGAGAAAGATGCTCGATCTGAAGGGCGCCTCACTCACTCACCGCCCTCACGCACTCCTGGCCCTCACACCACCTCATGCTCTCACCGCCCTCACGGCCCTCACTCCTCTCATGTCACTGCCCTCACGCACTCGTGGCCCTCACACCCCTCACGCACTCACCGCCCTCGCAGCACTCACGCACTCATGGCCCTCACGCCACTCACCGCCCTCACGCCCCTCACGCACTCATGGCCCTCATACCCCTCACCGCCCTCATGGCCCTCATGGCCCTCACGGCCCTCACTGCCCTCACGGCCCTCACTGCCCTCACGGCCCTCACTGCCTTCACAGCCCTCACGGCCCTCACCGCCCTCACGGCCCTCACTCACCCTCACTCACCCTCACACTCATGAATTTTCCTGGTTCAGAAACTCACTCACCCTCACCTCACCTGTGAAGATGAGGGTGAGTGAGGGTGAGTGAGGGCCCTCATGAGTGAGGTTTGCCGAGGTATGTCTGAGGGTTAAAGTATTTTCATAGTCACAAGCCCTTCAATGAGTGGTAGCCAGTCAGGAATGCATTGCTGGATTTTGTGGGCCTCCAACGAAAGAAATAACACTCTCACGAAAGTAGTCTTGTGCTTCGCGCACACCAATGTCAGCGTTACGCACGGTCATTCGTGCCCTCCAGATGCTGTGCAAACACAAGAGCATAACACAGTCATTGTCGACCGACAAGAACCTAATCCCATGAGGGTCCAGCGGAAAGTCTTTTTTCAGGGTCCGCTGGAGGACGTCCCACAGAAATACTCCGTCCCAACATTTTAGGAAGACATGCTCCACTGTCTCCGGCGTCTTACAAAGAAAACAATGCGTACCCCACGGAACAAACAGGCCCTTTTCTTTCATCCAAGTCTTTACCGTTAGTGTCCCGGTGTGAAGTTTAAAGAAAAAAGTCTTCACACCTGGAGGTACCAGCATCCTTTTTACCCGCTTTAGAACATCCTGTCCTGGTCCGCTACAGTACAAGTCCCTGTACATAGGAAGAGGAAAAAAGATATCCACGACATCTTTATACAATTTATTCCGTGTCACCACGGTTAAATATTCGAATGAAAAACGCGCCGTGAAAAATTGGCATGACGCCACTAACTCCTTAAGGTACCCATGAATTCCACCTGGCACAGATGACGAAGACACAATGAACTCGGGCAATGCCCGCCCAAGTCTAACTTGATACACAGTTCGTAAAAAAGGATCACTAATGTCTCGAAAAAAAAATAAACCGATTTACAATTTGCCGCAGATACAGGTGCACCAAGCCTAGTCCTCCCTCACGTACCCGTCGAAACAGATTCATCCTGCTTGTGCGCTCCCATGAAGAGCCCCATATAAACACCGCAAACACCCGATGCAATTTCTGCACATTCACTCTGGAGCAATGTAGTACTTGCAACACGTACCAGAGCTTACTAACAAGGAACAAAGTACAAACCGTGGTCCGCGCAAAAATAGAAAACCCATTGCCCTTCCATTTTTCAGCTTTGTCCCGGAGCTCCACAACCTGATTACGCCAGTATGGCTCACTATCACGATACCCAAGTACTTCACAGGAGTAGTTATCCACTGTACATTCAAATAAACGCTTGGTGTTGCCGCCCACTCTCCATGCCAGAACCCTAGATATTTACCCCAATTTACAGCGCTTCCACTGGTGATACAAAAACTCTTGATTTGTTTTACCGCTGCAACAATGCTTTCTCTATTTGTACAAAACAAAGCGATATCATACGCGTGTGCAAGGACACGCACTTCGGATGCCTCTAACTTAAAACCGCTTATTTTACTGTTTCTAAGAATGCTCAAACAAAAAGATTCTATGTAAATACAAAAAAGTAGGGGGGAAGGGGGACAACCTTGTCGGACAGAGCGCTGTACCATAATACGTTTCCCTACAGATTTATTGACTATTAGGCTAGTTGTACACCCACTGTACGCCATGCGCACCCCCTCGCGTATGACTTTTCCTACGTTAACATGATCGAGAATAGCTAATAGGACGTCGTGTGGTACCCGGTCAAAGGCCTTCTCGAGGTCCACTTGTAGCATAGCCACGCGGCTATGCATGGCGTCGCAGCATTCCAGGACACTCCGCGCTGTGTGAATGTTAGTAATAATTGTTCTACTTTTATCCCACATGTCTGGTGAGGTCCAACTATCTTGGTTATAACGTTTTGCATTCTTCTGGTCAAGACCTTCATCAAAACTTGGTAGTCGACGTTGGTCAAACTTATGGGACGATACGATGTCACGAGCCTGAGTTTAGCTACATCTTCCGTCTTAGGGATGAGGGTGGTACGAGCCGTTAGTAAAGACGGCGGAAGAAAGCTAAGATCGAAGGCTTCGTTAAAAACGTCTGCTAAAAACGAAGACAGTGTATGATTGAAAGCTTTATAAAAACCCGCACTTAGCCCATCTGGGCCAGGGGATTTCCCCGGGTTCAAAGCGTCAACAGCCATTTTGACTTCCTCGTATGTAACAGGACCTTCTAGAACTGATTTTGTTTCATCATCTAGTCTAGGCATTAAGGACAAAAATTCACTTTTAAACCGTTCAACATTTATGGGGTTAGATGAAAACAAAGCGCTATAATACTCAAAAAATGCTCGCTCGATTTCCGTGTTGTCGCTTGTGACTGTGCCATCTTTTTCAATTTCTGCGATATCATTCCGACGCGCGTACTTTTTTTCCATGCTTAAAGCTCGCTTAGTGGGCGACTCCCCCGCTATCAATCTGTCGGCCCTTGCCAGCGCAAGTGCCGCGTGATAACGCTGTTTATCTAGCTGCTCGAGTTTTTCTTTAAGAAATAAAATATCCCCCCTAAAGACCCCCGGCCTTCTGCACTCTTCTTTAACTAGCGTCTGCAAGTTTGAGCGCAGTAACTTTTCCATTTTTTGTTCTTCGTTTTTAATCGCACTAGCTCTTTCTATGGCCATTCTCTTGACATTCTGTTTAAAAAATTCCCATTGAATACCATACCCAGCTGATTTGTCGCCGGCTGTCATTTCTTCAACTGCAGCCTGAACTTGATTCATGAAAATTTCATATTTCAGGAGTTTCGCGTTTAGTTTCCATAATTCCCAGGAAAACCCTTTTCTAAATTCATTTTTACTGCGAAGAAAAAATTTGACCAAACAATGGTCACTGAAAGAAACTGGGCTCA